AGTTGAAGAAACGATACCCTGATGGAACAGGGATTTTTCAACAGGATTTAGCTCCTTGCCATACGTCCAAAATTGTTAAGAAATTCATGTCTGAGAATCAAATTGAGACATTTGAATGGCCAGGGAACTCTCCGGATATCAACCCAATTGAGAATCTCTGGGCCATATGCAAGAATCACCTATTAAATATGGACTGTGCAACTATGGAGAAGCTAATCACGGCGTTAATTCATATGTGGTACAAGGACACAAATATTATAAATGACTGTAAAAAATTAGTGGAATCCATGCCGAATCGTGTCCAAATGTTAATTAAGTGTCGTGGAGATCATATTATGTACTTTAATAAAATCAATCGCTTTTTANATTTTTTTATACTTAAACTAATAGTTTAATTTTTATGCAGTTTTTCAATTTGTGTACTTCATTAACATTTAATAAATATATCTGATTTTTATTTTTATTTTTCTGACTTCCAATACAGTCTATTTAGTTCAATTTGCTAATTTTAATATAACCTTTATCTCACTATAACTTTCCAATTTTAAATATTTGCTTTTTCTCGAAATTAATACATTTATTTTTATTAAAAATAAATGAAATAGATGGTTGCACATTTTGATTAAATGCTATTCTTCGTTTTTTATTTCAAAATATTTATAAACTAATGAAAAAATTTTATTTCGAAATTACATGTTTAGAAAGATGACTTTTTAAAATAGATTATGCATGCGATTTTTTGAACAGAAGACGTAATGTTCTTTTGGGTTTAAGAAAAAATATTGAAGCGAATATAAGTTTCGAATTTCTCAGCAGGTGAATTTTTATTCGTATATCATAGATGCATTTTTTTCGAGAAAATGCTTTAAAAACCTTTTTAACCCGATAGTTTTGGTAATGCATGATAGCACAAACATTTTGAGCAAACACAAACATAGCAAGTGAAAGAAATCTGAAGGACAAGAAAATCATATTTACAAAAAATATTTCATTTTATAAATGTTATTTATAGTTGTTTCTATAGAAATTTTTGAAAATTTCAATTGTTTATGAATAATACAAAGAGACAGTGTTCCGTAAAAAAAACCTATATTTAATATTTTATTTTTTATAATCCTTATACAAATAAAAGCGAAAAAGAAATACATTGAGTGCCTCAAATTAATATTTAACCTTGGAAAAGTGCAATATTAAAATCTGTCTAATCCAAGGCAGGAAGCCAATATGTAAACCGGTTAAACTTGAGGTTGAATGTAGCTTTAATAATCACTTTTAAACTCCTATATGCTTCCTACCGCCATCAAACCGGTATTGCTGTTTATTACTCTTGCCTTCTGGTACAGTGATTTGAGAGACACAGCACATCCTGTATAAATTACATCTGAGAATTCCGTGTTAATCAAATTAGATAGATTCAGCTAATTTGAATTTCTTAATTTTAAACCTAAAAAACAAAATCTTAAGTTTCTATTAAATTTGAGTTTTATAATTATTAACTAAAAACCTGAGAAAAAAAATATTAATAAAAAAATTTTTTTCAGTAGAATATCAGTAGAATTTGAGATGCGTTATATTTTGGAGTGTGGAGCTATAAAAAGGTTTTGTTATCATTTACCTCATGATAAAAATCAGTCAAATTTTGCATGCATCATTTCAGAAACTAAGCACAAAACATTTGATTCAGAATTTTTTTTTCTCCGAATTTTACCAAATTTTTTTATTCAATTTTTTTTTAGAATTTTGCATGAGCAAATACATGCAGACATTAATACTGCATAAAAAGCAAAATTATTAAAACTATAATGAAATTTTGAATTTCACTTCGGTAAACAACAAAACAAAAAATTAAAATGTAATTAAAACAAAAAAAAATGTTTTCTTAAAATAGTTTACCTCAAAGAGAAAAATGGAAAATATCAAATGACAACTTACATTAGGATAAGATGGTTCCCAGCAAACCCATCCATGTTCCATCTTTGACGACATCTAAAACACATAATTTATGACAACAAATTTCCATTAACTTTTCATAAACTTTAGATAGATTAAATAATAGTTTTTCACGCATAAAAATAGTTGAATTTTTTATTAGTTATTTCTTATCTGAAATTCAGAAATTATCAAAGGTATCTCAAAATATTTGAAGCTTTATTTGCAAGTCTAATATGTATTTAAAAATTTACAAAAATTCTAGACCGTATTGAAATGTCCTATTCGTGTTTAACAAACATTTTTTAGCTTAAAAACTGCATCATGATTTCTGTACGTTCTCAAAACTCTTCCTTTTCTATAATTATCTAGTAAATACTTTTACCCTTAAACCAAAAATTATTAAAGATCCAAATGCTTAAAGATGCAAAAAGCTACTTCTTTCCTTCAAGAATCAAGGAAATATAATATTTTCATAGCGTCTTGATCTCTTTTGTAATTTTTTTCTTTGAAATAATGACATTTACGTTTCATTGTAATATATTTTATATATCTGCTCTAAAGTAGTCATAAAAGAAATTTTAGTAATAAATACCATACCAAGGTTCCTGATATGGTTATTTTTTCAAATACCTGCACTCTGTTGATAGGAATTAGATAATGTAATTTTTAATTACGTCATCAATTCTAACTGTTTGTTTTTCAATTATAACCGAATTATCCTTTATTTCCATTTATTTCCTAATTATTTATTCTTCGAACATTATTCCTCAATTATAACAAAAGAAAATGTGGCATGAATGATGCTTTCAAATGTTTCATTGAAATGTCTTAAATACACTTTTAAATATGTCTCGGAAAAATGGTTAAATGACAATTAATTTACTGAATTGCTATTGTACCATATTTAAACAAGCCAATTAAATAACCATACAAATGAGAAAAATCGTTTATTTACTGCTTTCACATAATACAGTTAAACAACCAAAATTTTATTGCACCAACTAGTCCTAACTCCTACCTAATGAAGCCACTTAGTTCATTGCAGATGGGTACATACTATAGCCGAGAGGGCGAATCTGCCAATCTCATAACTTACAGAACGATAGTTCAAGTATCAACGCTGACACCACAAAATTTCCTCCATTTTCTTGAACACATGGAGAGTTTTCAGTGTCCGCACTGAATTTTGGCTATTGGAATCTGTTACTCTCATTCATACATAGGTGGCTGCGCCATAAAAGTTTCTAAACTATCTATAATGCCAAGTTAAATTTATTTTTTATGATTTTGAAACCATACTATTTGTAAATGGTTAAAAAGAACTTGTGGTTTTTCTAACAGTTCTAAACAGTTTGAAAACCGTAAAGGTAAAAATTGTTCTTTACCGTAAACACTATGGTTAATTGGATGAATAGACTGCTGCCGGTTACTTCACTATAATTTTAGAATGGAAATTCTAACAGTGTATGCTGCCTCTTGTGGTCCCGAATATGTGCGGTGGAAAATGGTATTCACGATTTTTGTATAGCTTCACTTTGAAATAGAGAAATGGCGTCTAACAATGAAATGGCATCATCAAGCAAAACATAAATGTTTGAAATCAAACTTAACTTTTTCAAAAATTTTGAGAGAGTATATTATTTATTTTTTCACCACTTTAGAAATATTAAGCTATTCGCTCCCTTTACCCCTTTCGATTTAACGAAAAAAAAATTTCTCGGCTGGCCAGTGGTGCAACGAAAAAAGGACTATGTGTCTGTAGTTAACCGTAGTTTTGAAACATTATAACATGAAACTCTGGTTCAACTTAGAGAAAAGCATGGTTCATTTTAACATCTTAATTAATGATGGAGGAAATTTGAACCGTATTATAGTTCAAGGTGTAGAAAGCCATTTTTTAAGACATTGCAGAAAATTTGAACCTAATTTCTTTTGGTTTTATGTTTTCTTTGATTTTTATTAGGCTAGAAAAACAATTACGTCTGCCCTACACGTCATATAATTTAAAAATATGAATCTTAATTTATGAGATCTTACGTAATTTAAAATAAAAATTTATAAAATCGATTTCAAACTATAGGATTATTTCTACACGGAGAAAAAAAAATCTGGTTAAATTACCGCAGTGTATAGACATAACATTTCTATTTAAAAAAAGATTTTAAAAAAAAACATAATTTTTGCTTATAAAATCGAATTATTGAGTATTTAAATCATTTATTTTGTACTTTTTCCTCTCTTATAACAACTGTTTACCAGAAATTCTAGTTTTTCTAGTTTTCAAAAAGTATAGTTCTTATTATGATTGGGACTGGGCGATATAAGAAATTTTATATCGTGATGCATCGTCAGTTTTGCATCGCGATATGGCGATATATCGCGATATAGTATTTTAGAAATTCATTTACTTGTAAGGCGCAGAAAGTCAGATTTCTATCAAAATTTCATACTCAGATTGATTTAAATCAATTTATGAATTTGTTGTATATGTTTTGCTTAAGAAAGATATTAATGTTATATTCTCTAAAAATGATCGCGCAAATAACGAAAGATTGCTTAGTTTAAAAATAAATAATAAAAAAATAAATAAAATTGAAATGTATCAATATATTTACCTAACAATATAGAAACAAAATTTAAAAAATAAGTTCGTTAAAAATTATTTGTATGCTTAAAACAAAGTGCTAAATAAATTAAACAAAAAAAAACACTTTTAAAAGAACACTATTCTTTATCGTTATTATTTCACATAAATAATAAAGTTAAATTGAATAATTACCGAATTCTGAACGAAAAAACAAAGTAAGGTTTAATTTCTTAAAAATAAAAACAAAAGAATTATGATATTCGATAGTATATTCAACTGACAATATTAAAATTAAATTAAAAAAAACACGATTATACTCTTTAATAGAACGAAGTGCTAAATGATTTTAAAAAAAAGAAGTCGCAAACATTACTAATTTTTTTGAATAAACGAAGTTGATTGACTTATGACCCAATCCAAAAGAGGAAAAATAAGTTTTGTTATAATTTCATTTATAAAAATGAAAACAACTAAAGATTTATAAATTTAAAATCAGTAATAAAAACCCATTAAATTATTATTTTATCCAAAAAGTTTTTAATAAATTAAAATAAAGTAAAAAATAGCCTAACAAATTTAATTACTTTTTAATTTAATTCTTTATGGGCACCTTAAATTAGATTTCCGTTTGTAATAAATTCAATAATGTAAAATAATACTTAAACATATAATATCAAAATTAATTTTCACATTTAAAAATAAAAAAGAAAGTTTTGTTTCAAAAAAAAAAATTTACCTAATTAATTAAGAAACACTTCTTTATATATTCTTTTCAATAATAGATTACGTTCAGAACAAGGTAACGACGCCTATCGCTAAGTCAGTCCCACTGAAAATAATCTACAAGAAACGATATCAAGTCGCGACAAAGAAGAAAAAAAAACTAAGAGGTGCGGAAACGAACGTGCGAGATCACGATATATGTTCTCAAAAATGAATTCTGATTCTACCACTCATCAATCAATTCCGTTTCAATATAACGATACGCACATCGTCTTCCCCAGCGCGAGTTGGCATCGGAACGTAAGAGATCCTTGCGTTTCTTGTATCGCTATATCGTATATTGCTATATCGCTATATCGTATATCGCTATATCGTATATCGCTATATCGTATATCGCTATATCATATATCGCTATATCGTATATCGCTATATCGTTCGTCTTCTTTACTCGACGGCTTAAATCTGATTTCTGATGCATCGCCTGGAACGAAAGTCGTTGTATCGGCCTGCTGATACAGGCGTTAAATAGATATGTCGCGATACATCGATTTATAGCCCTGTCCTAATTATGATATATTTAGTAAAAAAAAAAGTGTAAATTAAACTGAAAAGAAGATTTTGATGCCATGCTCTAGCGAATTTTACATTTACCAAATTTTGCCAGAAAATGTTAAACCATATTTTATTGATAATATTTCCAAAATAATTACCAAAACGTTTAGGTAAAAATTACCGAGTTTTTTGGTGTTCCTTAAACCCAAAAGCACGGATATTTTACCATATTTTTTCAGAGAAATTATTTAAAAATCATAATAAAATGACTGTTAAAATTTTCAAATATTTTCAGCTCCTCGTAAGTTTAAAAAAAAAACAATGTTAAGAATTTTCAAAAAATAATTAAAGCAGTTATTCTCAAATCTTCATAAATTATATGTGGCTGAAAAGTAAAAAAAAACGCACATTCAGGCTTAAAACATTTCATATATGCTTTTTTATGTTTTAAAAATAATTTCTCAAAAATATTATCTACATGACTTAAAGTTTAATCGCATAAATTTTTGACTTACAGCACTTGAAATTGATAGACGACTCATCATGCAGCTACTTCGCATGTCCTTCAAGAATGTTATTTCATCCCACCTTACACGCCAAGACATGTTTGCCAATTTAGATTCTAGGCGAATTTTTCTAAAATAGAAATATAAATTAATCTTAAATAAAGTTAAATTGATGCCGCAACTTGTAGGGATGAAATGAAATATTTCAACTAATAATTTTCTTATATTTGCTATTCCTTCTGAGTCAGTTTGTAAGGATTTTTGTGATCGAGAATTCAGATCACGTTTGTAGAATACGATTTATTTCTGAGTGCCATGAGAAATCTGTGTCTTGAAACATATAGATTGAACTTTATATTGGTGGTAACATCAATGTATATTAAATTCAAAAGAATATAAATATATTTATGTCGGAGCCCTCTTCGGTTTTACCACTACTGTGTTTCACTGGATATAGTTTGATTCACAAACTTCAGTACCTTTCTGAAAAAAATATAGTAGTTAATAAAACTTGTAGGAGGAATTAAAAATGGAATTAATTCGAGAGCAAAATTCCTTAATATACAAAGAATATTTCGGAGTAACAGCAATTTTTTTCTTTCTTTCGATAGCAACTATTTTAAAAAACAAATCTAAACAGGCCAATCACGTTTATATTAAAATTTATTTTCTATATGACCGTGTGAGATAGATTCCTTATTCTCGGTAAATATATATGTTTTGGTATAGATTGTTTCGATATCAAGTTACGACCAGTTTCATTTAGAAGGGGTAAGGAAACAAAAATTCATAATAACTTGTATTAAATAATAATGATTAAAATTACAAAAAAATTAACATGTGTTTTAAATAAAAAAAAATTTTAAACAAAATTATTTACTTTTAAGATTATAGTTTTTATTGGAAATTTTTAATTAAACTAAAACTTGTTTTGAATTCCTTTGGATTGTAGATTATGATCTGTAGTGTTTAGAAAATGCTCCTCCATACCAATGGCAAATAATAATGTAGAGCTCTGTGAGAAACCCGAAAAACCATTTTAAAAGACATAATAAACACGCCTTAAAACCTTAAATATTAAATGGGAAAATGTTAGAACATTTACTGGATATTTGTTTATTTTATGGAGAATTTTTTAATCATTTTTTTTAATTAGCTTGGCATATAATAGCACAGGTTTAATAAAAAATAACGCAATTCAAATTCAAAGAACTAACGAAGCAATTGGCATTTTTGTTATTTTACTATATTCATGGTAAAAAAATTTATGCTAGTATATGTTAGAAACATATTTTGAAATAATTTATAATAACACAGAAATGAGTAAGGAATAAATTTTCCTTTCATTTTGTCCTTTAAAAAATTGCCAATTATTTTTTGCAAATATATGTGTTAATTTAATTTATATTTTCACTACTTTTAACTGTTTTCAGTTTAGTATAAATTGTTAGCAAAACTCGTTGTGGTTTCAGGCACCTTCCTTAAATAAGTAATGTGTCTGAATAAAATAATCACAATTAAACTAAATTTTAGAGACTTATTCATTATACGAGAGTTGTTTTGTTTTTTTTTCAAATTTATTCGACATGGTACGGTTATGTTAGAAGTGATTTTCTAATTTCTTTGAGTATTGGAAATTCTCATATTTTTTCTCTTTAATATCAATACTAAACAAAGCAAAATTTTAAAAACCAATTATAATTATATATCTTTGAAGAAAACTCAACAAGTTTTTAAAATTATAAACAATAAAATTTTAAATTTTAATAAATGTTATATTTATTAAGAAAACGTGGTTATTTAAAATAGAGAATAAATGTTGAGACAATAACTTACCTGTATGTTAAAACTCCAATTATTATAATCACAATTAATAGAAAAAGAGTAATTATGAGTGACATTTCCAGCAATTTTAAACCTGCAATAATTAAAAAATATATATTCATTTGAAAAGTAATGAAAATTACAATGCGCATATGAAACATTTTTTAAGGTGACAGAAAATGAAGTTGAAGTATATTATAAATGAAAATTATTGGACCATCTTTGATGCGTTAAAAAATTCTAAAAAAGTAAGCGAGTGTTATTAGTGCCTCTCACAGCACGTAAAGCTATGGATAATGTTAAGAAAAAAATAATTGTATAACTATGAAAGAATACATTAAAATTCACAAACTAAGACATGAAGAGATTTTTACTTTACCTTAAAATGTTTTCAAATTTAATAAAATATTGTGAAGTATCTCTTTAGTAATATACCTCTCTTGTAACAGGCTGGATCTTTTCCATCAAACCCACATCTTGGTTTGTCTTTTGGTATTCTTCCTCCTGGCCAATGAATACTGCTTACTTCTTTGTATTCTTTAGTAGCTCCAAAATAAGTAAGCACAACCTAAATAACATATTAATTCTTTAAATAATAGTTTTTCTCTATCACAGCTTTATAAATATATTTTTCCTAAACTTTCATGAATTCAAAACATTTTTAGCTAAAGATTTAAAGATTTTAAAATGCTATATCTCGAATTGAAAAGAAATTAATAAGTTATATGAATATGTATGCACACTTCGTCATTTAAATTAATTTTTTTGTGTAAGGCACCATGCTCCGTAGTTTACAAGCACAAAATAAAGTTTGATGAAATTGCCGTTCTGCATGGTAATAACAGCATTGATAAGAGAATCATAACTTTTGTTCATAAGATCAAAATAAGCGAAATTTAAATCATTTATTTGGTAATTTTTTCTTTGATATGTAATCAGTTTACCAAAAATTCTTGTTTTCAAAATTATAGTTTTTAGTACCACACATTTAGTAAATATACAAAACTAAAAAGGAAATTGAATCAAATGAATGGCTCTTTATCTAACACTCTAAGGTATCATGATAAAATTACCAAATTGCCAAATTTCATCACATACAAAACTATATTTTATTGCTATTTTTACCAAAACATATTTCAAACATATATTTTGCTGATATTTTTATTGAAAAGCTTTGGTAAAAATTACCGAGCTTTTCGGTGTTTCATAGAGCCAGAAACACTCTGAATTTTTCCATATTCTGGTAGTTTCAACCATACTCTCTTTCTCAATGCTCGTTTGTCATTAGACTGCATGTAAAAACTTTTTAAATTCTAAATTATGTTAAAGAAAATGTAAATAATTTAAATGTATATTCCGATTTCACTTCCATTAAATTGTAAGGCAGAAACATCTGTTATTAGTTTATTTGATAGTGTGATAATTATGTCTCTTAATTATACCATCGTTCAAACTACCTGAGTGAAAAGCTACCTTCATTAGCTAATAATTAGTATCCTTTTATCTTGCTCTCCTAACGAAAGATACATAACAAAGGGGATCACACACTAAATAAAACGCTCGAAAGGTTTTCCCGCAGAAAAAGTTTAGAGATAGTGATTATAATCTAAGATGTTTTAATCTTTCATAGACTCGATCTAACAACAAATTTAGTTTATGACTTGAGCTATATTTTTTATGTTAATATGGTTTATAATATATAGAAAATAATTATTGTTCTTTTGGTAAATAATTATTTATACAATTCTCATATTGGAAGTGAAAAACCGGTTTCATATAACAATGAAATATGTTTTATATTAAATAAACTCGCATTAATAATGGAAATTAAGAAAATGAGATTCATATAAAAATATTGTTTTTTTTTTCAGGCGGATTTCAAAAATAATTAAACAAGAGATGTGAAAGAAGAAGAAAGTCTGTACAAAAATTGAATATGCCCACATTTGCGTTGACATGGCGTATATAACACAAAAATAAAAAATATCATACATTTAAAATAAAAATTAATAATTAAATTTTTCGCTAAGCCTCGAAAGTCATTTTAGCTAAGTTTGAGCTTTCGCGCGCAGTTTGAAGCACCTTATATAGTCTTAGTGTATTGATTACCTGAGACACGTAGAAAGATATTTGAAAATTAAAACGATTCAACTGAAATTGCTAATTGAACTAGATTAATAGTTTCAGTTGAAGTTTTCTCAGTTGAACATTTTAATTAGGTTATAAGTTAAAACATTACTTTCAAAAGAATGAATTAAAATTGAGTACTTCTACTGGTGAATTGTACAGTTTTCATAACACTAACTATTTTGGGGTGAATTTATCAATAATTTGAAAATGAAGATTATTGACGCATATGTTTCGTAATGCATCTTTCTCATAAATCTCGAACTGTTTGTTTTTGGAACCTGGAATTTGGGCGAAAAGTACGGTATTTATTGTAAATTCGTTGAATCAGTATATTTAAATAATTATTGTTGTTAAAACTGCCGTATAAAAGCTTACAAAAAGTAGCTTTTTTGGGATGTTGCACTCAGAGTACCATTGCTTCTTAATGTAATTTGATAAAGATTTTTACAGTGTAGGTTTAGCATCACGCATTGCAATATTGTAATTAGAACTGCATATAACTCTTTATGGAATGTTATAGCGACTTCCCCGAAATAGTATTTTTGCAATCTATATGCAACAGTACATTTATTTCGTTTACAATTACGCTCTTGATGCGTTTTTGTATAACCCTAAATTATGTGAAATTGATATAAAAAGAAACTAAGTAGGCCACTAAAATGACAGTAGTAAGTGTTGACTATTATGAGTTGTCTACGATCATGATACTGAATAAGTAGTTATTTTATAGTGTTTTGCTTGCTTATTATAAGAACTTAAAGTCAACAAAAAGGGCAGCAAATAAGAAGAAAAAATCAAATTCTGACCTTAACTGGGAGAAATTTTTCTAGTACAAATTCTGGCCTTAACTAGCCAAAAAAAGATACTGACCTCACAGAATGACCGCCTCATCCCAGAGTGATGTTTCAAGACCCATAACGTCAAAATCGAAGCAAAAGGACGAAGTTTGCGTATTATAATAGACACGTAAAAGATGTATGTCAGTTGAACTAATATCAAGAATTGAGTATTGAGTATTGAGTATAGTAAAGTGGGGCGTGCTCTATGCTTTCGCTTATAGCTCTGCGTTTCAATAGGTAAGGCTTAATTTAGTCTATCAAGATTTATATGAGCTCTGAGGCTCTTCTTCAAATTCAACATGCTTCCACCGAATCCAACAGGGAACTCCTTGTTTAGATTGAAACAACATCAAGAAGCACGTAGAAACATTTTAGAGTAAAATGATTTTATTATTATCCGCTGCAATATTTTTATGATATTATGAACCGCTATTTTGAGCGTAAAATATAATCAAAGAAAAATGTCTTAAAAAGGTTATTTTACTCAAAATGTTATACTTAAAATATTGTTATTAATTTTTTCAGCCATACTTAATAAATTGAAAAAAATTTCAATACATAAATTTCAAAATTATTATTATTATTATTATGAGCTTTGCTTGAACATGAAGAAATTTAAATAAAAACTCCTGAAGAAATAATATATGATTTTAAGCAAATCCAACTTATTTATGCATTTATATTATTAATAGCAAATTATATTAAAAATAAAGAAAGACGTAATTTTTTGTTATCCCAGTTTTTCTTTTTAAGTAACGTTTATAAATAACAAATCAAGTGAAAACTGACATATATGTTTATAAAATCTAAGGAAAAATACTTTTTCTTTTCCAATTTCTTTTTTAAGACATTTTACAACGAATAAACACTTTTGAGCAAGTTTACAACCGGCAAAAGAGAATTCTTCAAATGACATACCAGCATATAGAATTTCGTTTCCACGTCAAAAGCTTGATAAAAAAAATGAAGTGGAATTCCCCAATAGAGAAAAGAATTTTTATAATTCAACTTTGCCTTAGAATTAACTTTTCAATCATTCATCAAAAAAAATTTGAAGTTCTCTAGAGTATAAATTCAATATATTATAGAATTTTTCATTAAAATGAAAAAAGAAAAAAAATGTTCTAATTAATTCTCCAGTAATCTTTTTAATAATAATATGCCAAAACATTGCTCCTTTGAAAATCCTTTAAAAAAATTTAAAAAGAGATAATTGCAAATAATATCTAATGAGTTTTAAGGTTAACAATTTTACACAATGTTAAACTAGTTAAGGCATATTTGTATAATATATAACAGTGTAAAAACATAATTTATATAAGATAAAATTAAGTATGAAATATTATTTATGTATGCTGCAGTTTTTAAGAATTTACCTTTTTAAAAAATATCTTTTGCTTTTAAAAATATATTCCTTGATTTGTGTGAATTAACAGATTTGTTTTTTACATTATGTCTAGTAAAATATTGTTATTAAATATCTTGAGACATGTAACATTCTGGTGAGTTAGCAACCTTTTATAAGACAACCATATGCTTTGTCTTATAAAATGTAGTATTCAGATTGAAACAAGTATCCAAAACTAAACATCTTAGTGCAGTCAGCCTAAATCATCATACTCGTTATGATAATGGTTCATCAAAATTTCTGGTTTTCAAAACTGTAGTTCTAATACGTTAATAATACGTTAGTAATAAGTTAGTACGATACGTTAGTAAGAAATACAGAACTGAAAAGTAAATGTAACCGAACAAATGGTTTTCCTAGCGTGCTCCAAAGTATCACGGCAAAATTGCTTAAATGTTCTTCAGAACTATCATTCATTTTCCCATTTATTTGGAAATTTTAACATTTTGATGTCTATGTCTGATACCAAATAGAAGAATAGAAAATCATATAGTCTGTTTTCACTTCTATGGGCTTTTTTAAAGAATAAAATGGCGGTTTATTTAAATGGTTAATAAGAGTTAAGTGACGGTAAATTATTTATTATTATATTATATTTCTTTATTGTAACAGAAGGAAAATGAACCTAAATGGTGCGTTCAAGTGATTTAAAGATTTTAAATTCAAGTATTTCTAGCTATGATGCCTGTTTTATGCATCTTTCATGTTTTAGTTGTATTTATTTATTTATTGACATGTAATTGCAGTTTTCTTTTTCAATTCAAAGTTAAGCTATTCCTTGAATGGCTTAACTTTTTTCAATTTGAAAAACAGATAGCACGTGTTGGAGAAAGACAGCAAGAGCATACACCCAGCAAGATAGCATATTCGATCCGAAAAAAATCTTCTAGAATAGAAATACCACATGACGGAAGAAGGCCTCGGGAATTCATTTCTTGTAAAACAACTAGACAATATCGGGCCTCCATCACTGAGGGGTACAGTCCTTCCACCAAACTCTCTGAACTGTAGATTTAACGGATTCGATATTTGTGTGCATTTTTCTCATTTCTGGACAAAAAATATTCTTAACTTTAACAAAAGACAAGCCATTCTTTGAAAGGTGAGTCTGCTCCAGTCAGGCATTGTAAAATAAGTAATTAAGAGAATTAGATAAGCATTAAATTAATAAACGTTATTTCAAATATTTGT